AGTGTCCAGCAACTTAATTTTAAATTCTTCCACATCCGCTTTACCTGGAATGTCAGATATCATATCCTTGAATTCATCCAGCACCTTCATAATTTCACATCTCTGATTATGGTTTAAATCTGGGTTAATCTTCACTTGAGATAAAATGTCTTCATTCGTCTGATTGTTATTGTTGATTTCTAATGTCGGAATGCTTGGTAAAATATCTTCATTTGTCAAGTCTTCATCAAATTCCTCCTCATCATCCACAACAGACACCATATTAGCAGACAAAATATTGTTCTCATTTTCAATATTAGTAACAGTTTCACTTGTATTGTCTTTACCTCTGCTATGGTATTTCATCAACCTATTGATATGGTAAAGTTTCAACTTATCTCCCTTTTCTACTAGAAAATTGAATCTTGATACCTTCCGTATAACTTGAAATGGTCCTTGCCAATAAACAGATAATTTGTTTTCTCTTTGAGGTTTAAGTATTAATACACAATCACCTTCATCAATCTTGCGCATTGTAGAGTATCTATCATACTGAATTTTGTACTTTTGCTTTTGAACCTCACTATTTCGGTTGGCAATTGATGTTACATGAAATAACCTCTTCTTCAAATCCATTAAGTATGAGTAAACATTCCTGTATTCATCTTCCTCCTCTTTGTTTACAAATACTTGTTTCAGAATGGCCAATGGTCCTCTCATCTGTCTTCCATATACCATTTGAAATGGCGATATTCCTGTAGTTTCATTTGGGACCTCTCTATAGGCAAAAAGTGCAGCGCTAACCTTTCTATCCCAATCCTTTGGACTCTCTTGTGTCACTTTCCTTAGAAAACTTTTCAATGAAGAATTGAAACGTTCATTCATCCCATTTGACGAAGGGTGGAAAATAGTTGAGTGCACTATTTTAATATTGTAGAAGTTACAAACTTCTTTGTATAAATCCGCAGTGAACTGACTTCCGTTATCACTTAGTACCTCGTGCGGTATACCAATTCTACTGAAAATTGTGTTTAATGCCTCAATCACAGTTTCTGTAGTAATATTTCTTAAAGGTATTGCCTCTGGCCATCTCATAGCAATGTCAACAAGTGTTAAAATAAATCTGTTCTTGTTCTCGGTAACCTCCAACGGACCAACAATATCTATTGCCACTTTGTAAAATGGTGTTGTTACTATATTCATATTTCCAAGTTCAACTCTGTCACATCTTCGTGGCATTCTACACCGTTGACAAATATCACAACTCTTAATCAAATCTTTAACATCTTTATCAACTCCTTGCCAAAAGAAATATTGGTATATTCTTCCCTTAGTCTTTCTCACTGACAAATGACCTGCAAATATACTTTCATGTGCTGTTTTTAAAATTACTTCCCTTTTTGACACTGGAACCACAAGTTGTTTCTCTTCCTGACCTAATTGACTTTTGAATACACGATACAATAATCTATCGAATACCTTGAATTGAACACCTCCATTTTTCTTATTATCCACACTCTTCTCCTTCTGCCTGTTCCATAATTCTTGTAATGTAGGATCACTCACTTGTTCTCTCAAGAAATCCTCACATGATCCAAACAACTTATAACAATCCTGAATAACTTCTGAATGTTTCATAATATCGGCCTCATTCTCTTTTTGTTTCATTGCTCTCGTAACAGCAGCACCACTATGTTCATAATGTTGTTCATCTTGTACATTCCCTATGATTAAATCAGCTACTGGATTATCAAAACAAGCTACAATATATTTCCCTGTGATATAGTCTGAATTGATGTCAACACATGCCAGTGGATATTCCTTAATAGTACCATCAATCAATTTTAATTTGTAGCTACCTGGAATTTTGTCTGTGGATTCAATTAACGAACTTCTTACCCCAATCACACTAGATCCTGAATCACGCAATATAGACACTATTTTATTATTTAATAATCCTTCTTCAAAACGTAATTTACCTACAGACTTTTTCCTCAATTTCTGATCAACAATAGACATAGTTTCTTTTCTACATGGAGTAAAATATTCTATTTCATCAGCCAAATTAGAATGACAACAACTTTGAATTTTACGTGAACAATTTAGTCATCTCTGTGGACCTGTCTGTTTAATTTTCCTTGGCTTGTCTGTGTTTTTCTCCTTAGAATAATCAACACTTGAATAATTCCTTCTGTTATTTCCTCCACCATGGTTCACATTATTGTAGGCTCCTCTCCAGTTTCCTACATCCATTCTCCTTCCTCTAGTATCAAACTGCCTCCTGTAAGTTCCATATGACACATTCCTTGTGCCTGACACATGTCTTGGTCCATCCTTATAATATAACACCTGCTTTGGTTTCACTCTAGCTCCACCCACATAACATTCCGTTGACCTGTGACCTACTTTTGCGCACTTAAAACAAGTTATGACTTTCCCGTCACTAACATAGTTCTGACTTGTAGCTTCAGCAGCTCCCATTACATACACATTTTCCTCTTTACATAATGATTTGGTTGAACTTGCAGTCTTAAAGCTTTCAATTACTTGTAGCATGTCTTCTACATTATCACTTTTATTTAAAATAAGTTGACGATATACTTTACCTGAAACACTCTCTAACAATCTGTCAGTCACAATCATATTCTTCATGCCTTCTATGGTCTCCTTTACTTCTGCCATCTTCATCCAATTGTCTAGTGCCCTTCTCAATTCTGCTACATATCCCCTGAAATCATTTTCTTTAGGTCTGATTTGGTGAAATTTCTTCCTACACGATTCTCCATTTACATCAGCCTGCCTCATTAACAAAACCTTCACTTCATCATAATTTTCCCTTTTAAACAGATCATCTTGTAGCATGAAATTCTTGAGTTTTGAAGTCAATTTGTAAGATAACAACATAGCCCAACTTTTCTTATCAATACAACATCTTGTTGCTACCGCCTCAAATAAAGTCAAAAAGCCAATCAAATCCTCATCTTCCTTCATATTCTGAAAACTCTTGTCCAACTTATCAATTATATGCCTATGTTTATCCTGGATCTTAGCTTCTCCTTCTTTGTTTTCAGATTTGACACCAATTTTCTCCTGAAGTCTAGCCAATTCCAATTCATCCTGCCTCTTTTTAGCTTCCACTGCTTCTCTTTCTTTCCATCGTTCATGCTCCTCCTTCTTAAACCGTTCCTCCCTATCCAATCTTGCTTGTTCTGCCTTGACATATTCCTCCTTCTGTTCCTTCACATAATTCTGTAAGTCAACTCCTGAAAAACCCAACGCCTTCCCATCTGCTATAAATTGTGAATTTATAGAAAACCTAGTCTCCATCCTCAGAATTTCCAAACAATATAAGTTCCAATGGTCAAATCAGAAAAATCAACTAGAGCACAAGATATATTATTAGCAACCAAAAAAAAATACACTTAGCTGTGCTTTCTCCTGCGAAGATAGAATCTGCCTCAGCACCAGGAAGATAGAGTAGTGATGACAAGGTACAGCCAGGTACACCAGGACAACTTGAGAATCCCAACAAACAGATCACAGCTCCAATTTAAGTCCGACACCAATCAGTTTGGCATGTAACAAAATTATATCTTATTAGTATAAATTTAAAAAATATTATATATAAGATACAATGTTAGCAATGGCGATATAATGGCACCATTAAAGTCGCACACAAAAAAATTAATACAGTGCTTTTCTTGAGTAATAAGGTACAATCACATGGTACTGTGACACAAACAGGTGTCTAGAATCTGAAAATATACTTTTACAAGTACACAAATCTAAACAATAAACTTAGCAAATAATTTACAAATTATGACTGAGATTAACCTTTTAGACGAGCCCCCAAAATACTTGTCAGGTTCTTGTGTTTTATTGTATCTATCATAGTTTTAATTCAATGTGTGTTATTGTTATTCTTTTTCTGAACTTATAATATTTTGGTCCAAGTTCAGCCTGACAAGCACACCATACACATACAGTTGTATTAAATTAATAAACTAAGTGTATAATGTTAAATAACAATAAACATTTATTATAGTGATATATTTACAAATGAACTGATGTATGATGAATGATAATAATAGTATCAATATCCATAAATATATGTATAATATCTCTAATCCAATATGATATAGTTATTTTCTTTGTGATATATCAATGATCAATTATTTGAACAATATCATTACCTCAACATATTCATCATAAGTTGTTCAAACATTCTTTCAACGCAACAACTGGTAATCCACATAGATCTAGTCTGTAAATCCAATACCGTTCACTGACGATAATTCCAAAAAGTTCACAATTCACACTGCAACATCAGGTCTGACCAAGGCAACCCGCAATCTGGAATCTTGAACCTCAGACTCATGAAAAAAAGTCAACTTGAACACCAAACGACTAATTGACATTAGTGAGATGAAGACCTCAGTCCTGTAGACTGTAGACCTAGAGTTGTACTCTCAATAAAGAAAATTGAGACTGGATAAACAAGTCTTGACACCAAGACTTGACACTGAGTCTTACACATAGACTTGACACCAAGCTAAGATCACTACTTAGACTTGACGCCAAAAACTTGAAATAGAGTCTTGACTGAGACTTCGACCAAAAACCTAGACTTGTCGCTAAAACCCCTAAACAGGGGTCAAGATAATCCAACAAAAAAATGTCCAAGGCAAACGTTAAGGCTATCCAGTAACAATAACCAAGGAGAAATTCAAGAGCTCTCAAAACATGTCTTGCCTCTATACAGCACAAGATGGAGAGACTGTACTTGACGATAAATGACGCAAATCACATACACACACTAACTTTACGTCACTAGAAGTTGTGACAAGCAATACAAATTCCTTCTCCTAGTCTACACAAGAAATAGTGTAATGACGTCATCAATATAGTGAACAACGCCGCACTATCAAATAGAGAAATAATTCTACTATACAGTTACATAGATAACTGCGACACAGTGCACAACACACATCAAAAAAAAAAAAACAACAACAAACAACAAAGTAAAACACATCAAGTGCATATTGTTGAAAAGATTGATACAATACAATTTGTTTTGACTTTGGGATAGTCAACGTTTTAAAATGTGCATAGCCTGGTTAGCTACTATTGTACAATTTCCTTACAGTGTGCAGCAACAGTTTCGACTGAACAACAAAATACATTAATGACTTCCATTTTGGCATTAAATAAATAACTGACATACAATCACAGCGATGCTATATAGTTGAAACAGTAAACTACAACTTCTAAAAAATTAGCCAAACTATTTTCCCAACTTTGAATTAAATCTGTTGATTTTCCACTTCAACAGATTATTTATTTGTATGTACTAAAATAAACTGGATTCTGATGATCTGCTTAATTCTTGAAGCCTCATTGCATCCAGCTTTCACCAATTAAGGCCAACCCATTACAAACTGCCTTTATCAATTATATAAAACCATTATAAAATGTGGTATATATATATGATGTACAAAAGTTGGCTTCAGTAACATTTTAATATTCTTTAAACTAGAATTTAATTTTTCTCTTCTGTCTAACTTTTGTACTAGATTGAATGTTCAGTCTTTACCTAACTAAGACGTTTTTAGTCAACAATGGTGTCCAACTGCAATTAAGGCATCCAACAACACACACACTTCAGTCAAAGGAGTGAGGCTAGAAGAGGGAGAAAGCTTCACCTTTCTTGGTAGTATCTTAGAGAACCTTTGAGGAACAGATGCAGATGTCAGAACCTAGATTGGTAAAACTAGAGAAGCCTTCCGTTAACTGAAGAACTCCTGAGGATCTAGGGAAATAAGAGCCTCTACCAAGATCAGTCTCTTCAACACCGTTGTTTAGCCAGTACTGCGCTTTATAGAGAAAAAACCTGGAGAACGACCACTGTGATTTATAAATATTTATATACGACAGAAAAGAAGAGTGAAGATCAACACTGATGCAAAATTACACATCTAAAACTAAATCTAAAGTAAAGTTACCCTTTCAGACATTGTGGTCTATAGGGCAGATGATGTAAAGGTCATCTGTTTCTGTGGCCTAAAGTTAATGAGGGAGTCACGAGGCCAGCATAATGACAAACTGCCTCAACTAATGTCAGGTACCCATAGAGCTGGGTGGACTTAGAGGCGCCCAAGGATCCAGAAATTCTAAGTCTTCGCCAGGATTTGAACCTTGGACCCTTGGTGTGCCAAGCGCTTTACCATTCAGCCACAGCACCTCCAAGAACTAAATATAGATATACTTAAATTTCTAATTAAGATTTAGTCATCTTCTTTTTTAAAGTAATGTCAGTATTTTATAAGATGAGATCTAGATCTACTCTTGATGTAATCTATATTAGATTTACGTAAAAATATAAGCAAAGCTTAGATAAATAATAAACTGAAAGCAATTTTAATATTTTAAACAATTCAGTTATCTGTACATTATGATGACTAGATCTATGCCATTTAAATGGCATGTTTTATTCAAAGCAAAATTTGAACTTATTTCTTTTTCTTAATTAAAAAATTATAACAGTTCCACAACAGAGTGACCTAGATAGAGGTACTGTGCTTTTTTTAAGCATATAAATAAAAACTAAAGAAAGACATATGATTTACAAAATTTTCTTATTTGTAGGAAATTAAAATACAATTGTAATCAACACACAATTTTCCAATATAGAGTTTTGTTTAATAATTTTTTTTTTAAATTTATTCCATCTTAAAATATATTAAAGTAGTAAAATAAAAAATGAAAGACATTTAGCAGTTTCTGATATCCATACAATCAGAAATATAATTAAAATAATTGGCCCTAACTCAAAAATTAAAACCTTTTTTCCAGGATTAGTATTTTTTTTACCTCTCTGCTGTGACAGTATCCTCATAGATAAAAATGTAACGACATTGAAGGGATCACTGCATTGTTTTAGAAAGGCATAATAATATCTAATCTTCATATCCCAACTTACATAAATATACATGATTCAGTTTATTTTTTACAAAGCTTATATCAAGACACTCTGTCTGTCTGGTAAAATGTTTGTACACGTTATTTCTACCACACCAAATCTCGGATCAAATTGAAAATTTACAAAATTATTTCTTACGCTACCTATCAAAACAAGAATGAAAAAAAAAAAAGATTACCAATTAGTTAATTAATAATTGGTAATTAATTATTGAGTTTGGTATCAAAGACTAGAAAGAAATTGTACTTGACTGATGTGGTAATATAAGGCGATTTAGTCCCCATTATACTTTGTGTAAAGAATTAGGCTCCTAGCTGTCACTTAAAAAGTTTGAAACTTTCTCTGATAAGTTGAAAATTTGCATTAATTATTCATTGGCAAAGACAATACAAGAGAAAATTTTTTAAATTAACCAATTAGTCAATTAATTACTGGTAATTAGATATTTTGTTTGATAACAAGGGAAAATAGTACCAGTATTTACATACATGGCTAATATGAATAAACAAAAATTAAGCAGATAGTCAATTAATTATTGGTAATCAATTATTTGTTAGATATCATAAAAGGGAAATAACTTCTACATTATTAATAGATATAATAGCAAGTTAAAGAAAGAGTCCTTTCCCTTATATAAGCTTTAGTGTTGTTTTTTTGTAAAGTATTTTTATATTTTGCTTCTTCATTTGTTATCACATTAAATGAGAGAATTAGAAGTGGTCTGAGCTTTCAGGCAATAAATTATCAGGAAGTAATAGTATCAAAATTTCACATATGGACTTCCATCTGGAAATACTAGGCTAACTCCACTATAATTAAGACCATTGCTCGAAACTGATCCATTGTGAACATGGCCAACACCAAGTCCCAAACAACGAACTGGGGCTCCGCTACTTCCTGGACAGGTAGGCGTGTTATATGTTAGCATCATTAAATCTAAGTTCTCATTAAATTTGCCCACCTTATAGTTGTCCAAATACACACCAAAACTCACTTGTTTAGCAAATCCATGAGGATGTGACACAATAAAAGTAAGATAATTCTGTGAATTTTGAAATTTGTTACAAACTTTTTTCCAGAGATCAACCCGCTGCACTACCAAGCTCAAAAGCCTTTCCCGATAAGCCATGGACCCACAAGACATATAGCTAATCAAACACCAGTCTTGCTCTATATTAACCTCAAGTAAAATCAAATCTTCTAGTGTAAAAAGTTCCGACTTCTCCTCATCATAAAACAACCTGCAGCTGGTGTCAGCACATTCAATGTCATCATAGACAACATGAGTTGCTGTCCTAACAACTACTTCCCACCAAACATTTTTCGGTGAGTCTGAATTACGACATGACCAACACATACATTTTTTGTATTCTCTTATTATATCTTTTCCATGTCGGTCGCGTCCGACTCCATCTGTAAACTGAATAACTTCATTTACTTGCCCACTGCCAGTTCTTAAAAACTCTGTTCCTTTCTTGTCATAAAAAGGATACAGCATATCTGTATCCGGCCAGAATTCCTGGCGTTCTTTACTGACTTTTTTAACCTTGATTCTTACAGTCAGATCAGCTACAACCTTGACAAATTCAAACAGATCCACGTCACGGTATTCTTCTGACAAATCATTGATTTCAAATTTCTTGTAGGGAATAAAACTTGAATGGCCTGGATTCTTTTTGCAATCAAGCATATGTTTGTGCAGATCTGCCTCTTCACCTTCACACACTTGATTTTCATGCTGACCTTGAGAAGTGAACAAAAAACACACATACATTTTACAAAAAGAATTTTTTAAAATTTAGATAAAGTAAACTTGTTAGAATTAAATAAATGTAAACGTTCCATTAAACAATTAGTGGTTTAAAGAAAAGAAGATGAAAGCAGGTATAACTGTGTCAATCTAGTCATGCATGTTAATCAGTGATTTAAAAATAATCTGTCAAGTTGTTGGTTTTCCTGGCTGATTAAAAAAAACCTAATTCATGCTATAATGGCACCAAGGAAGAAGAAGCATGTATTCATGTTTGTCCTAGCATAGTGAATAAGAAATGTGCTTTTATCTTTTTGTCTAGGTATTTTATTACGTTTTGTTTTTGCATTAGTAAACTATTGTTCAGTCCCTTCTTTATTATTACAATGAAAATTAAATATTGTCTGAAAGGTCTTACCATTCAGTACATGGGTACGCAAATAGGCAAGATTTTTTCTAGCTTCACTAAGATCTGTAAATAAAAAAAATCAATAGTTAACATCATTTGTACTAGATATTGCAAATTGTTTTAAATTTTTAATATAATTTTTATTATACTCTACCTGGAGATTCATTACTATCTTGTGTGTCCATTTGTGATGACATCGCCTGCAACATTTTAAATTAATATTAAAAATTACTATACCTTTTTTTTTTTTTGAGAGTTTATAAGATAATTACAGTATAGAAAAATAAGTACAAGATATTAACATGAATTCTTGTTACCTTCTGAAGCTAATACAGTTCTTTACAAGTAACCTAGATTCCAATTTTATTTTAAAAAGGAGGCTAGGAAGTGCATATAATATGTTGGTGGGGGGAGATAAAAAACTATGGAGTATTTAAAAATATGCCTAACTGGAAGTTGACCAAATAATGTGGTTGTGACCAAGCTTTGCATGAGGTTTGCGGGACGTGTCCCCTGACAGAATGAATTATGCAAACCATCAGTTGAGATGACATGGAGGCCAGTACGAGTGCAAGACACTTAGTATTATTAGTTTGTATAGTGATGCACCATAGTTGACAGACTTTGAACTTGACATTTAGTGACGTCCAAACAACTTAGTTGGGTTATAGATATTTATGTTAATATAGTCAGTTGGTGTTAGGATTTCAGAGGGATAATGTGTGACATTATGGACAGAGACTTGACTGTAGCCTTTTCAGTGGTAAACGTCATCATCTAAGTTTCTATAACGGCTTGGATCTTACTCTTTCTACTTGTTACATGTGTCTACAGTCTTGTTAGTTAAGTACATCAAATACACCCATACAAGAAACCCAGACATCTCCAGAGTAATCTGTCGAAGTTAGACAGCCATCAACAACAACAAGGGTAAGGCCTATCACAGAGGAAAGCATGACAAACAGGCACATATATAGCTTGGCACCGCACTTTCATGAGGACCTCAGACTCAGAGCAGTGGGCACCAGGTGGAAGGAGGCTTCAAATATTGCCAGTGACAGATATATATTTAATATTTGTGGAGACATCTTGCTGCCCAGCAATGTGAGGAATGGTGGGGTAGGATATAAGTCTCAAAGTCCAAGTATTTATAATTATATATTTGTGCTAGCTGCTAGATCTATTTTTCCTTATTTATTAGCCCTAGATCTAGTGAAAGTCTGATTATGTCTGATATCTGTTCTAATTTAGGGTTTTAGTATTAGTTCCTTTCTTTCAGCTTTCTTAAGTTAACCTTTAGAGGCAACAAATAGATCTAAATCTTAATTTAAGTAAAAAGTATCTATGAAGTAATACATATTTTATTAGATTATTAGATCTAGGACTATGTGTAAT